CACACTGACCTGTTTCCCATATTCAATCCACTGGCCCTGGTCATTCTTCCAGTACCAAAGCCACTTGGTTGTTAAGACAAATTTGGCAGGCTTGGTGACAGACGAAGGTGTGGACTGACGCCGAACTGGATTGATGTAAGACATCATGGTCTTGAAATTGATGTTTTGAAAACTATGAGGAGGAAAGAGAGAGATCGACAATGAAGGGACCCCACTGAGTCATACAGCACAGTACTGAGTAACTCAGGTTTGGTCAGGAATGGGCAAAACTTGCTCCTCACCCCACACACTGGGTTCAGTAGGTTCAGAATGGCTTCCCCTCTAAAGGACTCTTGCTGGGCCGGAAGAACCCAAACATCTTAAGTGAGATTCCAGAGGGAAGGAGATGTATGTTTGGAGGGCAGGGGGTGAATGGCCGGGGAAGAGGACGGCCCCCCTTCCCCACTGTTCCAAAGGATGATTTCCAATGCTACTCACTGGGTCAATGTTAGGGTTGTGGGCAGGAAAAATCATACATGGGACATGGATCTGGTTTTGACTCAGACAGACCAGTTTAAATCCCAGAGTGGGGACTTAGCACATGCCAGCAAACACAAGGGGATCTTCTGGTTCCATCAGGGATGGATGGGGGGAGGGAGCTGGGGTTCTAGCCCCTGGAAGGAGATTGGATTTGTACCCCACCCTTCACTACCTGAACGAGTCTCAGAGCAGTTTACAATCTCCTCTCCCTCCCCACAACAGGTGGGGCTGAGAGAGCTCTCTTGAGAACTGCCCTTGAGAGAACAACTCTGAGAGAACCTATGACTGACCCAAGGTCATGACAGCAGCTGCATGTGGAGGAGTGAGGAATCAAACCCGGTTCTCTGCTCTCTGAACCACTACACGTGGCCATAGCCCCCCCCCCCCCCCCCCCCGTTGAATTGCCAGGAAGGAGACGCAACCCTGCAGCACTCGCAGTCGCCAGGAGAGGGCAGCGTTTTCCTGATCGTCTTGTGGCCAACTGCGGGGCTCTTCGATGGTCACAGAAAAGATATGGGTCCATGTGGATGTGGCTGGAGCCTCATTTCCAGCTGCTTTGTCGCTTTTTATACAAGGAGTTGCCCAGTTGAAGGAACAGTTGTGGGAAACTGGCAACAAAAGGAGATGCTGTGCAAAACAGCAAAGGGTGTTGCACAGCTGGGAGTGCCTGAAGACACTTATCTGTACTCTGATTACGAGAGAGACAGAGAGAGAAAGACCTAAAAGCCCCCTTTAAGCACGGGTGGTAGAAGATGGGTCAAAAAGGCCACAGGACCTTCAGCACCCGCCCCGCCACTGCTTTTCCTTCTGCAGGGGCCAATTCTGAGTGGGGAAGAGGAGAGGTTTATTGCAGCCTCCCCAAAATTGCTTTGGGCTGAGAAGAAAACCTCAGGGGAAAATTACACACGACTCTGCGTGAAGTCTCAGACCGTCAGCTGAGAGACAGGATGCGCCCCCACCCCCCCCGCTTCCAAGGATCACGGCAGCCCGGCAAAGTGGCTTGCTGTAAAATAGGTTTATGAAGCAAAACAACATGGGAAGACAGTGTGCTAACTGGTAAGCATTCTTTCCCCCCAGGCTCCACTACCCAAATCTCCAGGCATTCCCCAGTCCTAGCCCAGAGCCGGCAACCCTGGCATGCCTCATGTTTAGCCCTGATGAAAGTTAACTTGGACTGGACAGCGTCCGGGAGAGATGAAGGACGACGACTCACTGCCAAGGATGCAGCACCAGAACAAAGCCTGGCTCCTCCGTTTGTCTAGGAGGGGGCTCGGCAAGGCACCGCACCCGGGCAGTCGTGCGCCCACACGCTCCACGAGTAGGAAAGCAAGAGCTGCCACTTGGAACAGTCAAGACAACAACGTCTCATCGACTGACAGGGCATCCCGGGGACGCTCCTTTGCTTCGTAAAGCGACTTTGTGAATGTCCGTATTGCAGAAACAGAGTCATGCCATCTATCACATCTTTGATGGTATGGATGAATGAACACAATACATATTTACAAAACGGGAAAGAGCAAGAGTCCAGCAGCACCTTAAAGACTAACAAAACTTGTGACACAGGCACTGCAGTCACTTCTTCAGATACAGATATTTACACAGGCAATGTTGTTAGACTTTGACTGGGCCCAGTCCCCAGAACGTGGGGATGTGTCATTTGGGGTGGTCGCAAGATTATTTTGGGGTGCAGCCTGGCTCCAGTGTCTGCCCGTGTGACTGTCCTGGGGGCACTGCACTTTGGAGCAGCTGGCACCAGAACCGCGCTTTAGACCAGCACACAGAACGTGTCCCCTTGAAGGGGAGGGTCCGCTGAAGACGGGGGTATATGAGGTGTGGGGGTCCAAACCTCATTTTGGGTGCAGGGGGCACTTCCTTATTCAAATCTCCTTTGGCATACAGGCCTTGGGGAAGGTTTGCGAATAGACGCTTGTGGCATCAGAACCGGTGTTTGGACCGATTGGGCTTCCGGTTTGGCTAAGATGGAGGACTGAAGCGTTTCGCGATCGTGCGAAGCGGGCGACGGCCACTTTCGACAGTTTGGGCAACATATAGCCCAACGCATCACTCCCCAGCGAGGGGGGGGGACAAGCAGGCAGCGGCGCCTAAGAGGGAGTGTGAGGTTGGCGTAATCCAGCTTCGGAAGAAGCTGAATTGGGCTTTGATCTCCTCCCACGAAGAAGGCAAGTGCCAAGCAACTCTATAGTGGCCGATCGAGCCGGATTACCGGCATAAATTCTTCGTCAGCCGACCTCTTTGTAGAAAGACAACAACTGTGAGTTAAAAGAAGCAATGCGAAACCCGTTTTGAACGTGCTAGATAACAAAAACGTGCCGCTTACCTGAACTGAGTTTTGAGCTAATTTGAATTAAGCGGTTGAGCGGAAAATGAATAGTAAATCCCAGAAATCCGATTCCGGAGAGAAAAAAGTTGATTGAAGTCTTTAAAAACTGTAATTGTTTAACATTCCTGTGGCGAAGATCGGGACGTGTGCGCAACGGCAAAATCGAAACTTACGAACAATATCGTGGGAAGAGCAGGCTTGTGTAACAA